CTTGGACAATGTCATTCTTTTCTCCATTTCTATGGATGTTGTTATAGCAAGAATTAGAATTTCAATATTTTGTGGCTGAATAATATTCTATCTGCATATCATTTTTTTATCCAGTCATCTGTTGATGGACACGGGTCTTTCCACCTTTTGACTATTGTGACTAATGTTGATATGAACATGAATGCACATGTATCAGAGTCCTTGCTTATAGTTCATTTACATGTAGACCTAAGAGTAGAACTGATGGGTCTTATGCTAATTCTATGTTTAACATTTGGTGGCACTACCAAACTGTAGTTCCACTGTAGCAATACCATTTTCCATTCTTCTCAGCAAGACCTGAGGTGTGTCAAAATAAAACTGGAAGTTAATGTACCACAACATGGACTCATTAGATAGATAGCTGCTATCATGTAGACTTCAACTCGCGAGGACCTTATATACAACAAAACAGAACACTGTCCTGTCCTGCATTATCCTCACAATTGTTGGCATGTTTTAGTTCAGTGTTGTGGATACCATGCTAGTTCATCTTACTGAGGATCTCCCTTACTACCACTGGCCCTTCACTTCATCAAACATGATATCCTCCTTCAGCAATTGATCCCTCACGCTGATATGCTCAAGTTGGACTGTGTTCTTTTGTAATCCATAACATATTCATTGGTTAATTTTTAGAAATCTTTCTTCCTAATCTTCATTAGACTGGAAGCTCTGCTAAAACTTGTCCACACTGGGTAGCCCTGCTGTTACATGAAATACCAGTGATGTAGCTTCTCATTCACAGCAACACACAAGACAACATTGGAGTCATTATATAGGTTTAAAAAACTACTGAATACCATTTCAGCTAAACAGCCTAGTTGATAAATGCCTTAATTAACCAGGATGCTTTCAATTGATACTTCTTCTTTATTAAAAAAGTAGAAACCCCATTTAATGATTATCTTTTGCGGTCTTACTGTGGTCCCAACTCTATACTGGATACCAGATATACAGTGGCTAGAACACTGCTCTCCTGAATGTATATTCCAATGAGAGAGAGAGAGAGAAAGTAAAGAGAGGCTAAAAAAGAATTACAAATTATTGTGAGAGCAAGTAAGAAAAACCAGAGAAGAGATAGAAGTGGGAGGGTCTGGTGGGAAAATAGATAGGTACATGGTCAGGGAAGGCTTTTTGGAGAAAGTATCACTTAAGAGGAAACCAGAGAAATATAAAGCAACTACCCAGAGTGGGAGAGAGCTTCCCAAGAAAAGGGAACAGATCAAGGTATTTGGTGGCCAGGGAAGAAAGGGTGGGAACCAGAGCCTTCACAGACTGGTAGGTCCTGACACCAAGTTCAGTATTTTCCCTTCATGGATAGTAGGAAGCCAGCTCACTCTGGCTGCTGAGTGGAGAATGGTCAAGAGGGGTTGAGGCAGATATGGGACGTCAGTTGAGGCATCAGTATACATTAAAATTTTGATTAGGACTTCTAAGGACAACAGAACAAAACATCCTGTTGATGGAGTCCATAGTTTTGGCTGCTGTGCCGATCTGTTGCACTGATAGTCTACCAGTTACCAGGGATGGAAGGGAGGGGGAAAGGGAAATTATTTATTTAGGAGCACTGCACTAATGCTAATGGTGGAATCATTAAGAAGCAGACTGGTGATAATTGCAGAGAATGATGAGCATATTGAACATTGTCGATGTCACTGAATTGTCTACGTCTTATTGTTAGGTGCCATTGAGTCAGTTCCAACTCAGTGATCCTTTGCACAGCAGAACAAAACACTGCTTGATCCTGCGCTATCCTCACAATTATTCTGTTTGAGCATATTGTTGCAGCCACTGGGTCAGTCCATTTTGTTGGGGTCTTCCTCTTCATCAATGTCCCTCTGCTTTACTAAGCATAATGTCCTTTTCCAGGGGCTGACCCTTCCTAACAGTATGTCCAATGTAAGTGAGACAAGTCTCATTATCCTCACTTCTAAGGAGCATTCTAGCTGTACTTCTTCCAAGTCAGATTTGTTTGTTCTTCTGACAGTCCATGATGCTTTCAATATTCTTCCTCATCACCGTAATTCATATGCATCAAGTTTTCTCTGGTCTAACTTATCCATTGTCCTAGTTTCACATGCATATGAGGCAATTGAAAATACCAGAACTTGGATCAGGCACACCTTAATTTTCAAAGTAGAACATTTGCTACTTAACATTTTGAAGAGGTTTTATGTATCAGTGTTACCCAGTGCAGTACATCATTTGATTTCTTGACTGCTGCTTATATGAACATTGGTTATAGATCCAAGTAAAAGGAAATTCTTGGTGGCCAATCTTTTGTACATTTATCAACTCACAACTGGTTGTGAGTATTTCTGTTTTATTCACATTGAGGTGCAATCCACATTGATGGCTATAATCTTTTATCTTCATCAGCAAGTACTTTAATCCTTTTTGCTTTCACCATACAAGGTTGTTTCATCTGCATATTACAGATGGTTAATAAGCCTTCCTTCAATTCTAATGTCACATTCTTCTTCAGATCGTCCAGATTTTTGGATTGTTTGCTCAGCATATAGATTGAATAAGTATGGTGAAAGAATACAACCTTGGTGCTCACCTTTCCTGATTTTAAACGAGGCAGTTCTCCTTGTTCAGTTAGAACAGCTGCCTATTGATCTGTGTACAGGTTCCACAGGAGCACAACTGAGTGTTCTAGAATTTCCATTCTTTGCCGTGTTAGCCATAGTTTGTTATGATCCATACAGTTGAATTACTTTCTATAGTCAATAAAACACCAAAAATCTCTGCTTTCAGCCAAGATTCATCTAAAATCAGCAATGATATCCCTGGTTTCACAGCATCTTCAGAATCTTCCTTGAATTTCTGGCAGTTCCCTGTCAATGTGCTGCTGCAATTGTTTTTGAAATGTCACCAGTAAAATTTTACTAGCACGTGATGTTAATGACATTTAATAATTTCCATATTTATCAGGTCATTTCTATATGGAATGGGCACAACCATAGATATCTTCCAGTCAGTTGGTTATCTTCTAGATTTCTTAGCATAGTCTTGTGCTACATCACTGTATCAGTTTGTTGAATCATTTCATTTGGTAATCTGTCCATTTCTGGAGGCTTATTTTTTGCTAATGTTTTCAGTGCATCTTTGATTTCTTCCTTCAGTACCATCAGTTCTTCATCATATGTTACCTTCTGAAATGGTTGACCAGTTCTTTTTGGGTACAATGAATTAGTGTATTTTTTCCATTTTCTTTTGATACTTCCTGTATCATTCAGTATTTTGCCCATAGAATCCTCCAATATTGTAGCTTGAGGCTTGAATTTTTCTTCCATTCTTTCAGCTTGATAAATGCTTCATGTATTCTTCCCTTTTGTTTTTTCTAATTCCAGGTCTTTGTACATTGCATGGTACTACTTTACTTTGCCTTCTTGAGTTGTCCTCTAAAGTTTTCTATTCAACTCTTTTACTTCATCATTTTTTCCATTATGTTTAGCTACTCTATGTTTACAGCAAGTTTCAGAGTCTCTTCTGATATCCTCTTTCGTCTTTTCTTTTTCCCCAGTACTTTAATGACCTTTTGCTTTAGTCATGTATGATGTTCTTGTGGGTCATCCTACAACTCTTCTTGTCTTTGGTCATTACTGCTCACTGTACCAATTTATTTTTGAGATGGTCTCTAAAGTCAGGTGAGTTATGCTGAAGGTCATATTTTGGCTCTCTTGGACTTACTTGAATTTTCTTCAGCTCCAGCCTGAATGTGCATGAGCATTTGATGGTCTAGTTCACAGTAGGCCCCTTGCTGTGTTTTGGCTGATGTTACTGAGCTTCTCCATCATTTATTCCCACAAATGTAGTCAAATTGATTCCTATGTATTCCCTCTGGAGAAGACCATATGTATATAGTTGTCTTTTATGTTGTTGAAAGAAGGTATTTGCAATGAAAAAGTTGTTGATCTTGCAAAATTCTATCATGTGATCTCCAGTATCATTTCTAGTATCAAGGCTATATTTTCCAAGTACTGATCCTTCCTCTTTTTTTCCAATTTTCATATTCTAATCATTAGTAATTATCAATGTGTCTTGATCGCATGTCTGTTCAATTTCAGACTGAAGAAGTTGGTAGAATTCTTCAGTTTCTTCATCATTGACTTTATTGGTTGTTACATAGATTTGAATAATAGTTGTATTAACTGGTCTTCCTTGTAGCAGTATAAATGTTATTCTGTCACACACAAACAGCATTATATTTCAAGATAAATCTTGAAAATTTCTTTTTTATGATGAATTTAATATCATTCCTCTTTAATTTATTTTCCCAGCATCATAAGCCATATGACTGATTCATAGTGACCAGTACCTGTGTGTTTTGTCCTAGCTAAAGCGTAGGATATTGATATTTGTGCATTCTACTTCATTTTCGATGGCTTCCAATTTTCCTAGATACATACTTTATACATTCCACATTCTAATTATTAATGAATGTGTGCAGTTGCTTCTTCTCATTTTGAGTTTTGCCCCATCAACAAATGCAATCCCAAAAGCTTTGCTCCATCCACATCTTTAAGATTGACTCTACTTTGAAGAGGCTGCTTTTCTTTAATCGTATTTTGAGTGCCTTCCAACCTGAGGGGCTCATCTTCCTGCACTATATCAGACAATACTTTGCTGCTGTTTGTAAGATTTTTAGGGGCCAATATCTCAGAAGTGGACTACCGATTCTTTCTTTCTATTCTGTTCTTAGTGTTAAACCTGTCCACTGAAACTTGTCCACCACTGGTAACCCTGCTGACTTCCAGCAGCATGCTAAGCCACCACAGTATGACAGACTGACAGATGGGTGGGGCACTAATTGTACCTGTAATAAATGTTGAATTTGCTAATGATTTGTTATATATATATTTTTTACTGCCACTCACACATAATTAACATGGACAGGAAACAAGTATTCCCTGACTGTATATCATCAATAATATTGTTTCCTCTAATCTCAGACCAACAGGAGCTCCTGGGAGCAATGAGCAGTACAATGTGGGGATGGTGGGGACGCATGGACTGGACACCTCCCACACAGACACTTTCAGCAGCAGTATTTCAAGAGAAGGAACCTTGATGATAAGAGAGGTAAGTTAGTATAAAAACTGTGGTGGAAGTACATTTATTTCTTAAGTGGTTATTACATTAGAGTTTTCACAGAGAATGCTTATGGCATGTATTTTAAGCATTGGGAATAAGGAGGGGGAGAAGTTGTTCTTCTAAATGGTTGAGTGATTTTAATTGTCCGCCTCCTTTCCTGCATCCTTCTAAGTTTTTGCAGAGTGACTTAATTATATTAGTCCAAATTCTTCACAAATCGAAATGGCAGAATTTAGGCCTGAGGCTATAAAACTGGCAAATCCAGATGTTTCCTACAACAGGAAAAGAGAAATGAATGATCTCTGAACAGCATCATTGGCCTTGTTCTGCCTTCTCTCCCACCTCCAGCCCGCCACCCCCACCAATGGTTTTATCCTTGTGCATTTTATGTAGAAAATGCTCAGTACGTCCAAGACACATGGTGATATCATCTAATTAAATCATTAAGTTATTTTGGTAGAAGAACAAAGAAATATGCAGATCTACTTAAAAATGTACCTTAGCACTTTGGAGGATTTTGTTATTTTAAAATCTCAGGATTATTTTATTTGGAAGGACCACATATCTCCTTCCATCCATCCTTTTCATATGCAGTAATTCCCCACTGTGTCCACTGACATACATTGTTGTTGTTGCTAAGTGCCATGAGTTGGTTCTGACTCAGAGTAACCCCGTATAGGGTTTCTGAGGAGCAGCGAGTGGGTTTGAACCACCAATCTTGTAATTAGTAATCCAGTTCTTATCCTAAAAAGACACACATTAGAATCCATCTCCTTTTTCACTTGCCTCCATGCTCATTCAATAGCTGGTCTTTACTTGTAAGGAAAGTAATGGTGGGTAACCTTGGACAAAGGCTACCTGAACTCGCCTAGCATCGTTTTCTCATCTATAAAGTTTCCTAAGTAACAGCATATAAGTGACAGGCTGGTTGGGAAGATTAAATGATTTAATGCACGTAAGCATTCAGTATATGTTAACCATTTTATTTTATCTCACTCTCTCCAAAGAGCTGAGTTCTCCTTTGAATAATCACTCCCACTGTTCCTTCAAACAAAAACATCTATCATCTGCCATTCTCCTTCCTCAGCCAAGGGAGAGTTGGGGAACCCTAGCAGTAGACTTTGCTATCCGAAAAAGGGAAGAGGGCATCTTACTTTTGTAAGACAGGAACTATGGTTTTGAAATGAATGAAGCCTTTAATAATAGGCAGTGGGGCTATAACTGGAAGATGGGTTCACAGAGCCTGAATTTCATTTTATGTCCTTGCTGACCCTTTCAAGTAAGCTTTAAAGATCTGTTCACGTACGCTCAAAATGAAAAATGAACTCTGCTGTGGAACCTGACATTATATAATACTGGTACATAAATCTCCCAATGTGGTGAATGGATCATTCCACTGGAAGTGGGAAGAGCTTACTTATATCACTATAGCTTGCAACTTGGGAAAACATGCAGGAGAATGTTCTGGAGTGGGTTGTTTTGTTTTTGTTTGTTTTTTAACTTTTTATTGTGAATTGAGTGAAGGTTTATATAGCAATCATCAGTTTTGCATTCAATAAATCATATACTTCGTTTCATCTCAATGATTGCCAACCCCTCTGTGGAACAACAGTTATCCTGTTTCCTCCCTGTGGTTCTTATTTCCATTCTACTCTCCTTCCCATCCATCTCAACTTTGTCCTTTAGTAAATGTTGCAGTTTTAATCTTGAATGGTTTCCCATTCCATGATGAGCATACCTCACTAGTGTTGTTGTCCCCACTACATATCTATCTACTGCTTGGCTGAAAAATTGGGCCACAAAGGTGAGTTCTGTTCCAGACCTGAAGGGTGATCAAGGGCCACAGTCTCAGGTTCATCAGTCTTTCTGGCCAGCAATCCCAGTCTTTTCTTTTTTAATTTTGAGTTTTGTTCCACATTTTCTCCTTTTCTTTTTCTGGGACTTTCTAATGTGACCCCTTTCAGAGCAGTTGGTAGTGGCAACTGGGCACCATATATTTCTAATCTCAGAGTCATACTGACTGATGTTCACATGTTCCCTTGGTATATTGGACTAGTTGAATCCATGCATCTGAAATTTTTCATCACTCTTTTTCTTCAACACATGAAGAGACAACAGTTGCACGTTTGATGGTCACTCGTGAGGTTTTAAGATCCCAGTCACTACAGTGGGTTGTTTTCTGACTCCAAAGAAAAAGAGGCTCCAACTTCCAGTGTGATTTACAATTTTCTTGAGTCCTTATGATGGAGTCAGTACCTAGAAGTAAATTCAGATCTACATTTTCAGTTCTGTTGCCAATTACATCCAAATGGTTCTATAATATTTAAAGTACTCCAATATTGAATGACCATATTCAGTCACTTAGAAAATAGTATTCACCAATGTCTCATAGGAATTTGATTTGTTGAGGGACCAAAAATCTTTTTTGTCCTCTGAGTTTCCAAATTCTACCTTTCCCAAGTGTGGGCTTTTAAAATAGCAAATCTTGAGTATAAATCTATCAAAAGCACATGCTGTATAAAGATAAACTTAGGGTGAAGTATGTCCCTAATCACATAATAACAAAATAATAAGAAAAATCTCCTTAGAAAATAATAGGTTTGGCTAATAGGGTCATTTAGTTCAGTTCCCCAAGATGAGCATCAAAGAGAACTCACTCAGCTTGTCATTCTGACGTGAGTAGACTAGATAGTTCTATTAGAACATTCCAGTTCTTGTTAGTTGCTGTCAAGTACATTCCAACTCATGTTGACCCGTGTGTGCAGAGTGGAACTGTGCTCCCTAGAATTATCAAGGTTGTCACCTTTCAGTAGCCAGTCACCAGGCCTGTCTCCCAAGGTGCTTCTGGGTGAGTTCTAACCACCAACCGTTTGGCTTGTAGTCAAGTACTTAAGCATTTGCACCACCCAAGGAATTTGTATATGGTAACCATTCAAAATACTCAGCTCTGCTACTGTGCTTCTACCTTTCTCTGATCTCCAGTCCCACAGAAATGTCCTTACTCTAATTTCAGAACACACCAAACCAGCTCTCATCTGCCACTGTGTCAATGGGGGCCTGTCAGAAGAGCTGTCCTCCTTTCCTACCACCTGCCCATTGGTCACCCAGCAGACCGCTATGTTCCAGCACCACCTTCCCTTCCTCCTTGAAACCTTTACTGGGACTCCATGGGCCGCTGTCCACAGCAGCTTCCTTGCTGACCAGCCCCTGAACCAGAGCACTAACTTATCATGAAGGCTCTTTTGGTTACAAATAAGGAGTGTGGGGTGGGGAAGAAAAGGACACTTAAAACAAAAACAAAAAGCAAGGGGGAAGGGTAAAGAAGTTAAAATTTGGAGTTATTTCATGGAAGGAACCAGTAAGTCAGGAGAGCTGAAACATGATTAGGAACTCAAGCAACTTCCCTTATTCATGTCTCTGGCTTTCTTGCTGTCTGTCTCTCTATACCATCATCATTGCTTTCCTTCTGCTTTGTTCTTCTCTCTTTTGGAAACTCAACTATCTCCTCCTACCCATGCACATGCTCTTGGGTCCTGCAGTAGTGGCAAGGGGGTACTGTCTGACCTCCTCTAATTTTCAGGAGAGGATAGAGAATTATCACCCAGCCGAAGACTGATTCTATGAACCAAAGGTCAGATATGTCCACCTGCCAACTTTTTATCTATTCTGACACCAACCATCCCTCCATGGCACTTTATACTTCTCTGTTGTGTTCAATAATTCTTTGCAATGGCCACACAACTCACAGACAATACTCACAGTTTACTAGGAAAGTAACAGGATGTAATTCTCATTCAGGAATGCTCTGGATAAAATTCATCTGTCAAGACAGCCTCTTCTCAGTTTTGCCCACAGGTATGCCTCTTTCTGGCCCTTGACCTGGTCCTTGGCCTGGCTCCCACCCAGCCTGGGAAAGTGTTACAAAGTATTTTTAAAAAAGAAAATCTGCTGGTAATTGTTCAGAGGCACCCCACTCCACCAGCAAGCTTCTTGCCCAAAGGCACTTGATTATTTCCCCCCTCTGTGGTCCAGGAAGCCCACTATGCTGTCTCTTTGATGGTCTTCTGGTTCAGCTGCCCCCACTTCTCTGCCACTTGCTTCTTGGTGTCTCCAGAGTCACAGTCTCCTGGACCCAAGGTTCAGTGCAGGGGTCTCAGATCCAAAAGACACACTCCACTCCTGGCTGTTTTTCTTTGATGGTAGTGAGATGTACTGCTTTCATACCTCTAGATGACTCATTTTGAAGTCTAGTAGAATGGCAAGGGAGAGTGCTGGTTTTACAAAGTAAGTTCTTAACTGCGAACCATAAGGTCTGTGGTTCAAGTCCACAAGCCACTCTGCAGGAGAAAGATGAGGCTGTCTTCTCCCACAAAGATTTAAAGCCTCAGACACCCTATCCAGGGTCGTTATGAGTCAGAACTGACTCCATGACACTTAACAACAGAATGGCAGAACTAAACAACCTTCTTATTAGCGTTTTATACACTTTATTTGCATCCCCCCCCCACACACACACACACACCACACACACATACAAAGGAGTACTGGTGTGGCCCTGCAGGCTAATGCACTGAACTACAAGGTCAGTTTTAACCACAAGGTCAGTGATTCAAACTTACCAGCTGCTCCTCAGAAACCCTGTACAGGGTCACCATGAGACCATGAGTCGGAACCAATTTGATAGCACTTAACAACAAAACCGCCTCAAAGCTGCCATGTACACAATTAGCAAACTATCACAAACATCTCACATTTGCATCTTATGGTACTGTAAGACAAGCACTTCTGGTAGCGTAGTCGTTGTGAATCGGGCTGTGAACCGCAAGGTCAGCAGTTCAAAACTACCAGCTGTTCCGCGGGAGAAAGATGAGGCTTTCTGCTCCCATACAGATTTACAGCCTCAGAAACCCTGTACAGGGTCACTGTGAGTTGGAACCGACTCCACGGCACATAACCACCACCACCACCACTAACTCCATGGTTGGCAGTTCAAACCCATCAGCCGCTCCTCAGAAACCCCGTACAGGGTCATTATGTATATACTTGACTTGCTGGCACGAGCAAAAACAACCCAGTCATTTGGTGGGCATTACAAAGACTATGGCTGGAAGGGCCACATCAGTAATTCTGTGCACCTCTCTCCATTGCAGGATATTCCCGTCATCCCTGTTCATCTGTGGGACAGAGACAGACAAGCTTCTCTTGGTCCTAATCTGAAATTCCAGTGGGAATTTGATCCTGGTTGGCTTGGGTAGTTCAATTAACTGTGACTAGAGAGTGGAACCACTTAGTACAAACATGGCAGCCCAGAAGTATCTGATGCTAGACAGCCTAAGTTCAAATCCTGATTTCACTTACAGTTTGTGTCAGTGGTTTCTTTCCATGAAATACTGAAGAATGCTGTGGAAGATGCTGAAGAACCTGAAGATTGTAGCAATTATTAGAAGGTCTTTTAACTAGTTCATAAAGCACCCAAGGCTATTGTTGATTTATCTTTGTGTTTTCGCCAGAATGCCTGGCACAGTAACATCGCTCCCTCCAAACACCCCACTGCTGTGGGGTCAACCCTGTAGGGACTGTATGGGATAGAGAAGAACTGCTCCTTAGGATTCCCAAGCCTATAAAGCTTTATAGAAGCAGACTGCCTCATCTTTCTCCCATGGAGCAACTGGTGTATTTTAATCATTGACCTTTCAGCAAGCACTTAAACCTGGCATAGAGAAGGTATTTAATAAGAAGGCACTGGTTGAATGAACAAAAGGTGATGCCTCAAAAGTGGGCAGATTACCCCCTCAGTACGCAGGGTAGACATGGATGGCCAAAATGGTAGTGGGGGTAGGGCTACAAAGGCAAGAAGTGACTGGCTTACAAGCTTTCAAGAAGGAGCCTAGATCCAGAGGGTGTGGAGGAAGGTAGAATCTCCACTAAGTAGTATACAATCTGTCTGGGCGGGGCTGATGAAAGGAGATGGAGATGGCACTCATGTGGTACAATAGAGAATAATTGCTATCAGGACTGACTGTGAGGTTGGAAATGTAAAGGTAGACATTTTGTAGCCAAAGGAGGGGAGTGGTTAACTTTGCAGTCTAGGAGCAGAGGCCCCTGGGACCATGAAGGGAAAAGAACAGTGTGCAGGACCCTACCCAGAAAAGCAGTGATGCCAAAGATGGAGGCAGAGACTATGATGTGGAGAGATGGAGCGGCTGGCGATCTAGACACAGAGATGGAGAGGGTCAGTGTGCGGGCTTGCAGGGTATACCCTTTGGTTGGTTGATGATGCATGGAGGGGATTGTAACCTTGGCAATGTAAGACTATACGATAGGATGAATGTAAAGCTAATGTTCTCCCATGTAAACTATCACATAATTCACAATTTAAAATATATATATATATTATCTAAAGGAAAACAAACTGGAAAAAACAAGTGGGCAGATTGAGGGTCATTACAGGATTCCTTCAGGCTTCTCTCTGTCTGGGCCCTTTCGCCTCATCAGCCTCTTCATGTTTCTCTTTTATAACCAATGTGTCTGCATCCATTTTTGGCTGAAGGCAGAAAGCTGCTGATAGAAAAGAGGTACCTTGCCAAATTCAGAAGAGACACTGTGTGATTTATGGTACTGGGAGGTTGGGGGGAAATGTTAAAAAGCTTTTCAGTATTTGAACACAAGTTAGAAGGAAGGAGAAGCTGTCTAGTAGGTACACATAAAATAGGGATATCAAGATAAATTAGGACTTCGCTTCTTCAATGTAATTTAGAAGATGAAATGTCTGACTCTGAGAATAGGTACTATACACACTGCTGATGAGCAGTGTGGCAAATGAATCCAGAAAATGCCCTTTGCTTATAGTCCAGGGGCATGTTGCCAAGAAACGGAGAGGATACTAAGGGTTTCTAATTCTTTCTCAAGCTTCCTGGTAACACCAATTACCTGCACCCCTTCAGAAATGTCAGCATCTGCTTCCTCTCTCAAGGGCCCCCTCTCACTTCCAGCCAGGGGCAGGCAGGTGCAGCACTGGTATAGCCAGGCCAGATCTGGCTCCAGAAGGAAGAAGCCAGGCTGGTGAGGTGGGCAAAGAAAATGCACAGGCCTCTGCCCCTGCCAGTGCCGAGGCAGGGGTATATCTATGTGCCTTGGCCCCCACTGATTGCTCATGTTCAGCTAATGTTGGCACTCAAAAATGTTGGGAAAATAAATAAAAGAAAGAAATGGCACAAAAGTATATCAGATCTAATTTAAGCAAACTCAAAGAACCAGTTACAAAAACGCTATTGCAAAAGTATAATACTAATGAGGTCCGCAATGAGACCTTCTGCTTTCAGGGACCAGAGTTGTCCTATGAGCCTGTCTTTTGTCCCTAGGATTTCTGGCATGAGGCCGTGTTCTGCAGAGAATTAGTTTTTACACTTGTTAGGTCACATAACCCTATCAGTCAGAATTGTAGAGTATGTCATGTACATAAGGTGACTTCAGCATTTTCATGGTAAAACAGAATGAAAAGATAAATTTTTCTATGAATTTTTTTGAAGCCCCTGTCATATTTATTTATTTACAAATCATACATTTGCATTACTATGCTGACATATTATGTATATTATAAAATACCTTTAAAAAACAAAGCAAAACCAGTTGCCCCCTTGAGTTTCAGAGTAAAACTACACCATAGGTGTTTGACAGCTGTGACTGGATTACCTGGTCTGTCTTCTGAAGCAGTCCTGAGTTGGTTCAAACCAACAACCTTTCTGTTAATAGAAGAGCACTAAATAGTTTGCTCCACCTAGGAACTGTGAAATATCTCTAAGACACTATAAAGGGAGAAAAACATTGTTTCAAATGTTTTTCTAGTCATGACGATGTCATTTTGTTGCTAGCTGCTATCCTGGTGTGGTACTGTGGATTAATGTTCTGGACTGCAAGGTCAGTTTGAACTGCAAGGTTAGCGGTTCAGGCTCACCAGCCACCCTTCGGAAACCCTATGTGGGGGTCACTATGAATTGGAACCGACTCAACAGTACTTAACAACTATCCACTGAAGCAATGGAGATTATTTGAAAATATGGATTTTTATCCATTAATGGAGCTCTCGTAATGTAGTGGTTATGAGTTGGGCTGCTAACCTCAAGGTCAACTGTTCAAAACTACCAGCTGTTGCGTAGGAGAAAGATGAGGTTTTCTGCTCTCTTAAAGATTTACAGCTTCGGAAATCCTATACAGGGTTACTATGAGTCGGAACCGACTCCACGGCATACTACCACCACCGCCACCATGTTGAGGAAGCCACGGTAGCAGTGAATTACAAACTGTACTGCTAACCACTAGGTCAGCAGTTCACATCTACCTACCATCTGCTCTGTGGGAGAAAGATGACACTTTCTGCTCTCGTTAAGATTTACAGCCTCAGAAGTCCTATACAAGGTCACTGTAAGTCGGAACTGACTCTACTGCACATAAGCACCACAGCCACCACTATGTTAAATCAATGCATTTTAATTATGTTGGAGGAGAAGACAATTGAAAATACCATGGACTGCCAAAAGAACAAACAAATCTATCTTGGAATAAGTACAACCAGAATGCTCCTTACAAGCGAGGATGTTGAGACGTTGTCTCTCATACTTTAGTCATGTTATCAGGAGGAACCAGTCCCTGGAGAAGGACATCACACTAGGAAAAGTGGAGGGTCAGTGAAAAAAAAAGGAAGACCTCCAAGATGGATTGGCACAGTGGTAACAGCAATGGGCTCAAGTGAAGTAATGATTATGAGGTTGGCGCAGGACCAGACAGGGCTTCACTCTGTTGTGCATAGGGTCACTATCAGTCAGTACCAACTTGACAACGCAAAACAACAACTATCACATGGCACAATATTTACTTATTGAGAGATTCAACATCACTGAAACTAAACATTTTTGTTGTTAGGTGCCATTGAGACTATTCCCATTCATAGTGACCCTCTGCACAACAGAACGAAACAACACCCAGTCCTGTACCATCCTCACAATTGTTGTTAGGTTTGAGCCCATTATTGCTGCCCTGTGTCAATACATATCGTTGGAAGTTTTCCTCTGTTTCTCTAACCCTCTACTTTTCCAAATGTGATGTCCTTCTCCAGGGACTAGTCCTTCCTGACAAAGTCTCACCATCCTCTCTTCTAAGGAGTATTCTGGCTGTACTTCTTGCAAGATAGATTTGTTTGTTCTTCTGGTAGTCCATGGTATTGTCAATAGTGTTCTCCAACATCATTATTCAAATGTGTAAGTTCAACAAAATGGATGTAAATCCATATTTATATGTGTTGTTTTTTGTTGGTTTTTTTTTTACTTCCATGCTTTTTTAGATAAATCCATTGCTTCCTTGGATTTTTTGCTAGCTACTGTCAGATCTACTTAGTTATTAAACATTGTTTTGACCTTAAGTCTGGCAAATCGTCCTATGAGTTGGGCAAGTACTATCGCTGCCATTTTCTTGTAGTCTACTTGTGTGTGGATTATTAGTATTGTTTCTCCCCACTCTTTCTTTCCAGCAGTACTTGAAGTCATGAATCTATGTTGTGGGTTTATTTCATTATAACCTGGTAATAAGATCTGCACCTCCGAATATCTGGTGTACACACACATACACATACAACCAGAAAAGGAGCTCACAAACACAGATCCCACTCAAGCCCTCTACTTTATGGCATTTCCATTTCCTCACATACTGCATATGCATTGTAAGTGTCCCTTCCCCAAGAACAGAAGGCCTCAAGGTCAAATATACTGAATATTTGTAAAATTGTCATTTCTTTCTTATTTTCTGAAGTAAATTTGAAATTTGAGTGTTAGCCTCCTACACCATGGTAGGTCCATTTAAAAACCAGGGTGCCTAAGTAATGACTCAGTGTGAGAGGAATGTTACTTTCTAACCTTTGTCCTCCCACTCTAATGTTCCATGTTTTGTGCTCCCCTCAGACATCTGGAGACAAGAAGCGATCCGGCCACAGTGACAGCAATGGCTTTGCAGGCCACATCAACCTCCCGGACCTAGTGCAGCAGAGTCATTCCCCAGCTGGAACCCCAACTGAGGGCCTAGGGCGTGTGTCCACCCATTCCCAGGAGATGGATTCTGGGACTGAAGTAGGTGCTGGGCAGCAGGTGCAACAGCGTGTCTTCCCCCTGGACTTCAGAAACCCTGCTCTGAGGCTTTGTCTAATGCCTAGAAATGTGTTTGCTTGGTTTCTACTCAATAGCTATTGATGTAAATAGAATGAAGGAAATCAGAGAATCAGAGCAGTGAAAAGATCTCAAATAACATCTGGATTAGTACCTATTTTTAGAGATAAGAATTCTGAGATTCACAGAGGTTAAGTGATTTAAACACTTTAAATCTAGTTTGTGGAAGAACTAGGCTCACAGCTAGTTTGTGGAAGAACTAGGACCAGAACTGGGACGTCCTTTCTCTCAGGCCAGTGATAGAAACTTAAGCCTATAGGGATTCAACACCAACAGGTGAAAGCATGTCTTGCCCTCAAACCTAGTATCTTTATGAAGTTCTCATATAAGACATGTAAATATAGGTATCTTTTTTTTAATGGCCTCAGAAGCCCTGTACAGGGTCACTGTATTGTGAATTGGGTGA